TCTCTCTTCATAGGCTTAGACTTACATGGTCATTCACTTCATAGGAGGGGAAAATCCAGGTTTGTGGAGCCTAAGGCTTATACTTACGGGGCTTTCTTTATAAAAAGTAAAAGTATGAGAACAAATTTGTTAGCTTAGCTTTGGAAACCTTGGAAGGAACCTGTACAGTGAGGAGCCCAGAAGCTTAAAGTTTATCAGCTTTGTGGCAAATTTGGATCTGCCTAACAGAGAGTGTGATGGTGAATATTAAGTGTCAACTTCATTGGATTGAAGGAAGCAAAGTATTGTTTCTGGGTGTGTCTGTGAAGTTGTTGCCGAAGATTAACATTTGAGTCAGTGGACTGGGAGAGACAGATCCACCCTCAATCTGGGTGGGCACCATCTAATCAGCTGCCAGCGCAGCCAGAATAAAAGCAGGCAGAGGGACATGGAAGTACTGGACTGGCTAAGTCCTCTGACCTCCATCTTCCTCCCATGCTGGATGTTTCCTGCCCTCGAACATCAGATTCCAAGTTGTTCAGCTTTTGGACTCTTGGACCTACACCAGTGGTTTGCCAGCAGCTTTCAGGCCTTTGGCCACAGACTTAAGGCTGCACTGTTGTCTTCCCTACTTCTGAGGTTTTGGAACTTGGACTGACTTCCTTGCTTTTCAGCTTGCATATGGTCTATTGTGGGACCTCACCTTGTAATCATGTGAGTCAACACTCCTTAATAAACTCCCTCTCATATATACATCTATGCTATTAGTCCTGTCCCTCTAGAGAACCCTGACTAATCAGATAGCAATCTAATTTTCCAAGTTGGATTGAACCATACATATCTAAAAAGAAACCCATACTCTTGCCCCTCAAAATTGGAGCCTATGTTTTCTATATAGCATCCCCTGGATTTGAAAAATCTATAATACATTTTTCAAATCTAGGGGATGCTGAGTCATCCAACATGTCAATCTCTCACTTACACTGACATACCACCAACACCAAGTCCTATAGATTTTATCTCACAAATAGTTCAGGTATCTGTCCCCAGCATCTTCACCACTGCCACTTCAAGTCTCTTTATTCATTCCCCGCTCCGGTTTTGCCACTTTCAACACATCCTTCTCATTGTCACCAGAATAATCTTTCTAAAATGCAAATCTAATTAGATTACTCTTCTCCCTCAAACATTTCAGTAGCTCTCTGTGGTCTCATGAAAAACAATTAAGGGTGTACTAAGTCTTCCATGATCCGTCTTTTCTGTGCATCCTAATGCTATCTTTCTTCAAGGACTCACTAGAAGTATTTTTTTCTAGCCTCAAAATACAATGTTATTCTGTGCTTAAAATTTGTTCAGAATCTCTTCATTCCCACAGGAAGAAAAAATCCTATGAAAATTTCTTTACATAGTGTTCAAGAACTTCCATGAGCTGGCCTCCACTGATTTGTTCACCCTCATCTCTCTGCAAGCCTCCAAACATATCATTTCTCTCAGGCTTCCATGACCCACACATGCTATTTATGTTTCCTGACATACCTTCTTACTCTTGTCCACCTGGTTCATGAATGAATTCTTCAAGTCTTATCTCATTTTTACTCCACATCCCCTAAGTTCTTTGAGGCAAATTAAGGTGTTGATTCTCTTCTACATTCTGTCTAGGTCTCCAGTAAAACTATTATTTCATAATACTTACTTTAAAATCTGTCTCTTTTGTACAATCTAGATATAAACTCCTTTAGGAGAAATCATAACTTTTAATTTTTAAATTCCTCCTTTCCCTGAACAACATTTCACAGAGTAGCAAACAATACACATTCCTTAAATGAATGAATGAATGAATGCATAGATTTGAATATATTTGAATGCATAGATTTTTAAATACAAAAAGCATACACATATCAACCACTCATTACAGTACAAATTTCTATGCAACAAAAAATCTTGGTTTCTGTATGTTAAAATAATTTTTAAAAATCCTGTTTCCATGCTTATTGTGGCATTATTCACAAGAGCCAAGATATGGAATCAGTATAAGTGTGCATTGATGGATAAATAAATAATATATGAATATATGCACCACACACACATACACACACACACAGGAATATTATTTTGTCTTAAAAAAGAATGAAATCCTATTTGTGATAACCTGGATAAAACTGAAGGGCATTATACTAGATGAAATAAGCCAGGTACAGAAAGACAAATAATGTATGATCTCAATTATGTGAAATCTATGAGTTGAATCATAGAAGCAGAGAGTAGACTTCTGGTTGCCAGGGATCTGGGGGCTGGGGGAAATTGAAAGATGGTCAAAGTATACAAAATTTCACTTACACAGAATGAATTAAATTCTGGAGCTCTAATGAACAGCATGGTGGCTATAGTTAATATTACTATTCTGTATACCTGAAATTTGCTAAAAGGGCAGATCTTAAATGTTCTCCCCATAAAAGAAAAGGTCACCAGGTGAGGTGCTAGATATGCTAATTAGTTTGATCATGGTAATCATTTCACTATGTATAGTCATATTAAAATAGTATATGGTTTAAATATATATGATTTTTATTTTTCAATTATACCTTGATAAACCTGGGAATGCAGGGGCAGAGCTCCATGTCGTTTCAGTGTGAGATTTGGCATATATACAGTCCTTCTAAGTAATTTACAATCTTCCATAATTTGTTCCAGAAGAAGCCAGTGTCATTTGAATGCTGAAGCCTTAATCAAGGACATTCCTTCATATGTTAGTATTAGTTCAACAGTTAACAGTCTTTGAAATCAGTGCAACTGGAAAACATTTCACTATCCACCGACATGCATTTATTTTCTTTTCATTCTAAGAATGGAGAAGAAAAAAAGGGAAGGGTCCAAATACAACTGGCTTGATTAGTCAGGACCTGGGCAGACTTCCTTGTTGATCTTAGTTTCAAATGTTAAGGTATTTGGTCTGTCTTATTACTGGAGTAGCCATTGACCCTCGCCAGTCCTGTCTCATTGACTCATGAAGATCTGCATCTTCCGATATAGATGTGTTTCTACTTTCTTTCTATTATTGTCTTCATCTTTTTACTATAGACTCTCTTCTTAAAATAAAAATCTTCCCTCACTTTACAGTAAAATTGGTGCATCCTTGGCATTTTGTGTGACTGCTAGAATCAGCAGCTGACATTCTGGCTACCTACGTTTCACCAGAATCAATGCAGTGGCACGGCGAGCTCATGAGAAGGAGGGGAGATAAAGGTCGTGCTTCTCAAAGTGGGATCCTCATCTCAGGCATTGGAAACACTTGGGTTGTTCATGGAACATTCAAATTCTTGGACGCAGCTAAATCAAAATCTTAATTTACCCACCAACCCAAAAGATTCTTTTCTAAAACATTTTTTTTTTAAGTTTTTTTTTTTTTTTTTTAAACTTTTAGGTTCAGGGGAATATGTGCAGGTTTGTTATTTAAATTGTGTGTCACGGTGGTATTGTGTACAGATTATTTAATCACCCAGGTGATAACCGCAGTACCCAGTAGGTAGTTTTTTGATGCTCACCCTCCCTCCACGCTATAGTAGGTCCCAGTGTCTGTTGTTCTCTTCTTTGTGTTCACATGGACTCAATGTTTAGTTCCCACCTATAAGTGAGAACATGCAGTATTTGGTTTTCTGTTCCTGCGTTAGTTTGCCAAGGACAATGGCCTCCAGCTCCAACTATGTTGCTGCAAAGGATATGACCTCCTTCTTTTTTGTGGCTGTGTAGTATTCCATGGTGTATATGTGCCTCATTTTCTTTATCCAGTCTACCATTAATGGGCATTTATATTGAGTCCTTGTCTTTGCTATTGTGACTAGTGCTAAGATGAACATATACATGTATTTGTTTCAATGGTAGAATGATTTATATTCTTTTGGGTATACACTCAATAATAGCAGTGCTGTGTCAATGGTGATTCTGCTTTAAGCTCTTTAAGGAATCACCACATTGCTTTCCACAATGACTAAACTAATCTTAAGCAGACAGAAATTTGAGAACGTGTGCATCATGATATGTTTTTAAATATAATATTGAGAGAGTTTGAACATCACTTTTGGCTAAGAGGAATTAAAACAATGAACATCATGAAGATGTTTATAAACCTGCAGGTTAGTGAATTCCATTAGATTGTACATGTCTTGAAGGAAAAAAAAAACAATAACCTTATATCAGCTATACTCAACAACATCTAGAAAAATATATTCAATATCAGAGTGCCTCCAAAAATAGACATTGAATTAAATCATATTTTGATTCAGTAACTGTGAAAAGCAGAAAATTCAGGCAAGACACTTATAGTTTAGACATTACATTCTTGTTCTGGTCCTAAAGGCAGTTCCTATAATCAATCAGCATTGTCTAAGAACATAGATATTCCATCAAGTTCTAGCCTGAAGATAAATTTGCATGTTTAGTTTAGACAATTTTATAGAATTTCTGTGCCTCAAGGTTTTCATCTCTCAAATGGGAAGCATATCTTCAGAAATTCCTATTTCAGGAGGTTGCTGTAAATATAAAATATGACATGATATGGAAAAACAGTTTGACAAAATAGCCTTTCTTCACATACATTTTATAATAAAATTGGTACAAAAGTATCATTAACTTGTTTTTCTTTTACTCAGTAATATTTAGTTAATTGGATGCTTGTTTAAATCTATAAATCTTTTTTCCTCATTTAGGCAGTCAATAATTATCTCCTTAATGAGTAAATCATGTGATGTTCAACCCATTTCCTGTAAAATGTGCAGCCTTTCTAAACTGTTATTTTGAGAATTATTTCAATTTTAGAAAACATGCTTTTACTTTGTCAGTATGTAGCTAATTTGTTTTATCATGACAGTAGCAACATTTAAAAAAATTATTCACCCCCATTAGGATTAAATATCAAGCTTATGATTTTGTAGTTACTCTATTATGAGTGAATATAGACACCATGTGATAGTTCTTACATTTCAGTTTTTATCCTACATTTTATTTTTCTATGGGTGTTTACTTACTTTCCTGTTTCCCTTCAGTCTCCTGTATTTTTCCCAGGATGAGGCTGGAGAGAATCCAATATTATGTCTTGTGTCTGTTGAGGATCACAGTTTTTTCTGTTTGGAGTCTGGACATCTCCTAACCCCCTTCACATTTCTGATCTGTGGGGGATGGAAAAACAGAAGGGAGGAAAGGGATTCGTGAGAAGGAGGAGGAAGCACAGTTATGGCTTCCATGTAGCCCTTAGTCTGGTTCCTTTGTTGATTCAAGGCCCCTGCCTTCTGACCTCATCTCTCACAATGAGGAAGGGAGAAAGTTGTCAGAAAATTTCTATTCTTGCCTCTTCCTGGGGAACCCCAGCACTGGAAGGGATGCAATTTGTGCATTGAGCTCTACCCTCAATCAGGTCATTGTGGGTAACCTGGTAAATAAGAAATGTCACTGGCAATGGAGCTAAGCATCTTACCTTTCACCTGCACTGCACTGAGAGAAAGAAGAAAAGCTAACTTTTATTAATTTGGTGTTATCCAATATATACCCTGCTAAGGAGTTTACATATTGTTGCCACTCTGTGAAGAGCTTTTGTTACTTCTTCTTGGTTAAAGAGATAATCTGAGCTCAAACTTTAATCAACTTGCCTAAGCCACACAGCTACTAAGAAACACAACTGAAATTAAACTACATCTAAGAACTGAAATTCAACTCAGTGTTAAATAGTTCAAAATTCATAAATGTATACAAACTTTCCAAAATGGCCCAAGTAAGCCAACTTAGTGAATAAATTTGTTAACAGGCACTGACCAAGAGTCTAGGGGTCTCTCTTACATTTAAAGCTCACATATGCTGTACAACAGAGCTTGTCAATGTCAGTGGTCTTTGGATTATTGAATATGTTTTCCATTTTAGGGGAGGTCATGATATTATATCCAGATGCTGTTTTTATATTATATTTAATACTCATATATTATTAAGCTATATGTTACTCTGCCTAGTGAATATTGCAGTGTATGTTTATCTAATACAATTGCCCCCAAATCATATTCAATTCACTATACCTCTAGGGGTGAATTCAATTTTCAAACCCTGTGCCAGTGTAGACCCTTCTTTTGTTTCCAGTCTCCTGATCTTCACACTCATTGGTCCTACAGTTAGCAATGTATACTCAGTGATTAATGTAAAGCAAGAATAGGACTGATGACATGGAAGGGAATATTTTTTTCCTATACATGTTTAAGTCCTACAGAAAGCAATGCAGTACATAGTGATACACCATTTAGACTGTGTTTAAGGCTAGCCCTTGGGAAAATAACAAGGGGATGAAACTTGCTTTTCAGTACCCTAAGCTCCCACTTTCTGAATTCTTTGTAGCATTCTATAGCACACATTGTTATTCTTAATGACTATGCATGTTGACAGCCAAATGAATTAATCTCTAATGGTTGAAGTTCATCAATACGAGAATGGTGAAGGACACATTAAGGGGCAGGTTCTAAAATCATAGCATGCTGGTACGTTTCTATACTATTTATGAGAAAGAGTGGCCCCTGGTATGTGCCACACAGCCTTAGAGGTATCGTCCCACACTTAATAGAAAGTATATGCTGAGATACTAGGCAGAAACAGTGAAACAATTCTTTGAAACCTGAAACCAGGCTAATAGGATGACTGGTGTTCACATCCAGCAAAGCTAAAGAGACAAAGACTCCTCTCATGTTGGTTCTGATCGTCGAGACACTCAGAGTTATCAATTTGTAGTATAAGCTACTCATGCTATCAAAGATGCAGGAGGAGAAACTCCTACCTTTTTTTCAAAATTTTCCTCTTCCTACCAAGATAAGAACAGAAATTCTATTAGTTCAAGGTCCTCTATTAATATTCTGGAATAAGCAGGCAGAATTGTGAAAGGTTCTATAAACCTTTAAATTGCCATTAGCTAATCAGAATCATTGTTCAGTGATTATTATCTTTTATTAAATGACCACTGAATCAGAATGTTCATACTGCTTTTCAATTAAAATGTAGAATAGCCAGAAATGACTCAATAGCGTACAGTGCAGCAGCAATATGACCCAGTGAAGCAGCCATTACCCAGAGGTAATTGACCACTTAAGAACTTAAGTTAACTTCTTGATGCAGCCAGTTATTTCTCCTAATGTCATTTCTACATCAGGAGAGGCTTTTCCTACAGAAAGAGCACTCATAAACAATATACCCTGCAATAGGGCGTTCAAGATAAAAACTGCTCATGATTTTTAAAATTCCATCAAATCATGATGCTATTTTTCCCCCTATCATTTGTTAGGAATTCATACAATATCCTAGAGGAAGAAGGAGACAGCAAAATAAAGCCAACATGTATAGCTCAGAATATGATTGGTAAAGGATTTTCTTTTAAATTAAAATGTATTTATACACATGCTCAGATACACATAAACCCAACCGTCTAAAAGATCAAAGCAATTGGTGGCAAAATAAATTCAGTCCATCAATTAGTTCATGCATAACAGTATGTACTATTTGGCTATTTCTCTTTCTCTCTCTCTCTCTCTCTCTCTCTCCGCCTCTCACAGAATTGACAGAATTATCCTTTAAATTCGTTGTCATTGTTCTGTGAAAAGTGGAGACTAAATACACCAAGAGAGGATGGACTAGCTAGCTACTAAAGAGTTAAGTTTTCCATAAGAAAGAGAAACACAGTTAAATACTACATCACAAATTACCATTTTTATGTCACCACCCCACCATGACTTTAGCACTAAGCCTGCTACATCTTCACACTCTCATTAGGATATAATGCATATTCATGGTCCTGATTATATAGCCACTTTCTTGACTTGTTTTAATTGTGCATAAAGACACTGTGACAGGAGACCTGACCTTTTCAAGATCATTTTCTCTCCATTCCTTTTCACAAAGCTATTAACTTGTCTCCTTCCCAAAGATTGCAATAATTTATTTCCCATTAATAAAAAATTCCTGGTGCCATGCAAATTAAAATTTATTCAGCAAATAGAATTCTTTGGATTATTTTCTAATGGCTTTAAATACTTCCAGCTTAGGAAGAAAAATAATATTAATGGGTACAGGCTGAGTGGATAATTGCATACATTGCAGAAAAATGAATATACAACCGATGCTGTAGCTTACCTTACATCAATTACCCAGAAGAGTTTCTTTACTTCTTTTCTCAAAAAATATATTAAATAGTTTATTTCAGGGGGTATCATTATGGTCTTGAAATTATCCCTATTGTATGAAAAGCTCAGCAACTTACACGTATAAACAACATTGGTGTAAGAAAACCAGACCAAGTTAAAAAAAATGTGTGTAGGTGTAAATGAGATTATTTAAGGGGGTCACTTAGCTAAAGTGGCAACTGAATTGCAATATAACGTGAGTAAGGGCATAAATGAGAGGCAGAGAATTGGATTTCTTTTCTTGCTAAGTGGCACCTGCCTTTCTCTTTGTAATCAAGAGTACCCCATGAGAGAACCAAATTTCCAGGGGATGTTGCCTTTGGACCTCATTATCCTGAGAGAAGTTAACTATATCTTCTTTATGCTATGCATGTTTTTTCTTTTCTTTGCATCTTATGGGAATGTGATAAAACTCAGGCATTAAAATATTTATACACAAAATGTTTTAGACTTAAGGTGCTGTGGGTAGTACATAATAATTACTGTCAACCTATTTGCCCTATATAAAAATAATATCAGTGCTTAAAAGATGACATTTCCACTTTGAGCCATCATAAACATAACTCTTTCTGGTTCTTGCCATACTAATTGTGTTGGACAAGAGAGATTAGAAAGCCCAAGGGAACACTGGGAGTTCGACATTTTCCAATGGAAATAAAGCTCTTTTAGTGTTTTGTTGTTGTTTTTTTTTTTTCCACAGTCTGGGAAATTAGAAAAGGAAGGAATGGGTAGGCAGTCTACTGAACCTGCCAGCTGGGGCAGCTTTTCCCCCTAAATAGAAGACTTCAATGTCTGATCCAAGTTAATTTTAAAGACTTTTCTTTCCTACTCCCTCTCATAATACAAAAGGAAAAAGAAAGCTAGAGGAAGAGATTTTACCCTGATTATTTTGTTGGACCCTCAGGATAATTCTTTGAGCCAGGTAGGATAATTTTTAATGTCCCCTTTTACAGATTAAGAAACCGAAAGCCCAGGAAAATGAAACTATATGTTTTAAACCAAAATTCTGTGGCCCTCCTTAAGTCCCTAACAAATTAGGTCCAATAAGCTAGACTTATTAGCCCCTGTAGCAATGGCTTTTGCCTGGGGCAATATTGCCCTCCTGGGAATATTTCCCAATGTCTGAAGATATTTTTAGTTGCCACAATTTGTGCATGTTTTGTAGGGGGAGGGAGTGCAATTGTCATCTAAAGCGTAGAGACCGAGGATGCTGCTGAACATCCTGCAGTGCACAGGACAGCGCTCCCTGACAAAGAATTATTTGGTTCAATGTGTCAACAGTGCCATTGTTGAAAAATTCCTCTCTATAAACGTGGGATTTTTTTTAAAGTAGGTGGAAACAACAGTCTAAAGAATATACTTTATGGACATCTGCATTTTTATTTCGATTGGAAAGTGTTGACAATGACTCTGCAAAGCAATAAAAATAAAAGTGGGAGAAAACCAAAGGCAATCAAACAGAACCAGAAAAGAAATGCGAAAACAGCCCTGAAGAGGAAATAAATTCTGGCAGAGAAAAATAAAAACAAAGGAGCGAAAAGGGCAAATGTTTTAAGAATCAAGAAAGGTCCTAGAACACACAATGGATGAAAAAAAATTTTTTTTTAATTCATTCCAAAATAAAGACCAAAGATAATGTGAATCACTGACAGCCACGAGAGTGGAGATGCCTGATTAATTTCCTGAGTAGTCCAGTAACTGGAAGTATTATTAGGTGAATTCATTTGAGAAATGAATAGAAGGATAGGAAAGAAATTCTAGGAAATCCTTAATGCAAGATACAGTGTCAGCATTACAGGTACCTAAAGCTTGAGAAATAGAGAAAGAGAAAAAAGAGGAACTAACCAGCTTACTAAGAAAGGGAAACGTGGAAAGTTAGCTAAAATAGGAGTTTAAACTCAGCACAGAGAGTTCTTGCGGTGGGAGTTGATCTTCCTCAATCTGAAATATTTATACACTGTGTATTGCAGTCAGTTTAGCTAGAGGAGTATTGTTTACCCTGTTCAGTCATTTTAATA